CACTAATAAAAATTTAAGGAAAAAAAAAGAATAGCATCATTAAATTCACTAGTGAAACAATTCTGCAAGCTAGGACTAATGCTAACAAACCCTGCACATGGGAGCACATTATCATCAGAAGCCATGGGGTCTATTATTGTAAATTGGCAAGACAAGAGTGCCACTCCAAGGGGCTTGATTCATAGTTGCAAGTAAGATTAGCAGAGCATGGCATCCTTTGAGGCAAAACATGGCAATCAATAAGGATATACTTTAATATTCAGTTGTACAATTATCACAATCTAAGTTTAAAACATTCTAACTTCAAATAAGACAAAATTCTAAATATTCTAGTCAAAATTTGACTTGCAATATTGACACTGTGAAAAGAACCATACAATATATAGTTTGTTATGATTGGGTTCTTCCACTTAGCATATTTTGAGGTTTATTCGTATTGCATATTATGCACCAGTATTGCATTTGAATGCTGAAGTGTTTTACAAATAAACCATACTTTATCCATTCATCAGTTGACAGGTCTGTTTGGATTGTTCCCATTATTTGAATACTATGTGGTAGGGTGTTTGCCTTGCATTCAGCCAGCCCGGCCAAGCCGGGTTCGATTCCTCCACCCCTCTCAGAGAGACAGGCAAGCTACCAAGAGTATCTTGCCCACACGGCAAAGCCTGGCAAGCTACCCGTGAGGTACTCGATATGCCAAACACAGTAACAAACAAGACTCACATGGAGATATTACTGGGTCCGTTCGAGCAAACTGATGAACAGGACAGTGACAGTGACAGTGATGAATAATACTGCTATGTTTTTTAGTGCATGTTCTCATTTCTTACAGACATATCTAATAGCTGAAATATGGTATTTGAATCTGAGAAACTACCAATTTCCCAAAAGGACTGGACCATTTTACATTCTAATACATGTATTACAATACCTGTAAGGATATAAAATCAATATTCATTATGGCTTTTGCTCTTGGGAGGAGGAATCTCCCCAGTAGCGCTGAGGAAACAAAGGGTCCACTTGACAATTTTCCAAGTCAATAAGCCAGAGGTTCAATGCTAGGGCTGTGCAGTGCTGGATATTACTGGAGTTACCCTAGAGTTCTCAGAAGGCTTCCAAGAGCCACATTTGGCAGTGCTTAGAGGTCCCCCGGACCACACCCAGCAATGTTTTGGGGACCATGTGGTGCTGAACTGGAATCTAACTCATGCAAGGTATGTGCCATAATCCCTATACTCTCTCTAGTTCCTCACTGTAGTTTTGTTTTCTAAGTTGTTAGGCATCTTTTCATGTTAGTAGACGTTTGTATCTCTTCTTTGGAGAATATTTTTCATATTCCTTGACCACTTTTTTTTTTTTAAGAAGAAACACACTAGTGTATGTTGGTACTCCCGAAAAAAATATTAACGTAGCATGTTAGGGCTATATTCCTGCTCCTATAAAAAAGTACATTACCACATGTAATCTTCTGACCCTTTTTTAAATCTTTTTTATTACTCAGTTCCTGGGTATAATTTGTCAGATTTATAATTTCAACTAGTCCCCCATTGTGTTTTCAGGCTTCTTGAGACCTTTCATTTTAATTCAAACTTACCTAATTTTTTGATTAGTGACAAAATTTTTCTCTAACCATAATCACAAAGATTTACGTTTCTTGCCATATTTTTAGTTTATCTTTTATCATTTAGGTTCCTGATCCACTGAGTTCATTTTTATATATAATGTGATGTATCCAAATGCATTTAACATGGGCATTTGCCCCAGAATTATAACATTTCCCCCCGATGAATTCTTATGTCAAAAAATATTTTTGACTAAAATACATGAATTTCTGGACTCAATCCTGTTCTGGTCATCTATGTCTGTATGCCAGGCACTACAAAATAAGGGGGGGGGGGGGTGTTGATACACCCTAACACTTGGGTTTCACCAGGGCCACTACCAGTAACTAAACTTGGGGTCGTGTGCAAGAAAGACATACACTCCCACCCTGAGCTGTCATATTAGATTTTTAGCACATTTTGAAATGGCAAAACATAAATCTCCCAATTCTGTTCTCAAAATTGTTTGGACTATTTTTGAATTTTTTACATTCCATGTTAAGAGTAAAGTTGCCAATTTCTGGTGGAGTTGACAGGAACTGCATTATCTGTGAATCAGTTCGGGCAAAAATGCCATCTTAATGTTAGTCTTCTGATCCATGACCAGGAGATGTTATTTACCTAAGTCATTCTTTCAACAGTAACTTTTATATTGTCTTTTCTGGTTTTGGCTCACATGTAGTGGTGCTGAACTTACACCTGGCAGAGCTCAGACCATATCAGGAATTAGGGATTGAGCCCAGGTGGACTGCATGCAAATACAAGCGCCCTACCCACTGTACTATATGTCTCCTACCCCAGGAGTCATATTTTTTTGATTCCTGATTTTCTTCCTTTAGATGCTACTGCAAATGAAATGTTTAAGATGGATATTTAATATAGAGGACTAGAGCTTATTTTTTTTTCCCTATTCTTAATTTCTGCACCGGTGATTTCATTCTTTGGTGGATTTTAGGGTTTTCCACACATTAGAACAGGTCATCTCATGTGCTGAAAGTAGACTATGGACCGAACATGATGGTCACTCAATACCTCTATTGCAAACCACAACACCCAAAAAGAGAGAACAAAAGGGAATGCCCTGCCACAGAGGCGGGGTGGGGGTGATGGGAGGATGGCAGGAGGGATACTGGGATTATTGGTGGTGAATGGGAAGAATGGGCACTGGTGGAGGGATTGGTATTCGATCATTGTGTGACCGGAATGCAAGCACGAAAGTTTTTAACTTTCTAATTGTACCTCTCGGTGATCCATTAATAATAAAATTTAAAAATAAAGTGAAGAATAAAATAGACACACACACACACACACACACAAAAGCCATCTAAATACAGGATTTTTTTCCTTTCCCATCTGGATAGCCTGTTAATTTTGTCAAATGTTCTGACAAAGAGCTGTACCGGTGAAACATCAGTATAACTTTTAATAGTAGCAGGGTCTTAATTACCAATCTGAAATTTTTAACCTTTTACTTTTATTTGATGCTAGCAGTAACCCAGAAAGTAAGTTTCCATTCCTAGTAACAGAACAAGCAGAACAGACCTCATTAAGAAAACTATAACAGTGCTAGAGGAGAACAAATAAGTTAAGGTGTTTCTCTGTCTTGAAGCAGACCCTGGATCAATCCTCACCACCACTAGGTACAGCATCCCCTGAAAGAATTTTTGGTTAGTTTGAATTAGCTGATGGTTGCTACCTAGGGGCAATGGTAAAAACATTAAAACAGTATTTTAGAGGGGACAGAGCAATAGTACAGAGTAAAAATTTCAGCATCCTGTATAGCCTCCTGAGCACTGCCAAGAGTAACCCCCAGCTCTGCATTCCTGGATGCAAAGCCAGAAGTAACCTGAGTACTGTTGGGTGTGACACACACCACGGCCCCCCCACCCCCCCAAAAAAGAAAAAAACACAGTATTTTAGAGATAGGGATGTAACTCAGTAGGTTAAGAACACACACGAAGTCTGAAATGACAAACAATTGAGAAAAGTGTTGTTTAGGGAGAAAAGCCTGGGGAATGAGATATTATAAGACTACTAACATATTACTGGAAATCTGCAAGGTAATATGATGTTTGTTTTCTAAGGGAAGACCTGAGAAAGCTCTCTGTTGTATTCGTTGGCTGACCTGGAAGCTCTGCTCAAGTAGGAAGTGAAGGTAGAGTTGTAATCTGACTAACCAAATGTTGAATATAGGTCACAAAAACAAACTCCTTCAACAAACGCGAAGACATATTTCGAGTGATTTAAGAAATCTGTCCAGTCATTAGCAGACCACTAACCTTATGTGGTCAAACATGAATACAGATTTTACAAGTCAATTTAGAAGTTACTAGTTATACTACATGTAGCAACAATTCTAGGGCGTATGTGCATGCCCTAGGGCACATGTATTTGCGTGTGTACTTTTTTTAGAGTTGTCACACTCCTGATAAAAAAGAGAGGTATGGGGGGGGGGGGGGAAGAAAAAGAAGTCCTACAAAAACCAAGGTATTGCTCTTTCTTAACAAATATTTTAATTTAGTCATTTAAAGAATGAAAGGAAAACGAGAGCCACCGGTTGACTGCATTGTAGGCAGCATGGGTTTTAGCCTGGCTCTCCATCTTCACCAAGCACTGCTGAAAACCCTGAATACAGAGCCAGAGTAGTCCTCAAATACTGCTGGGTGTGCCTCACACCCAACTCAAATAAAAACAGCCATGAGAAATGAGACAAGTAGATGATAAACAAATGGGAAAGAGGGAGGAGACCCCAGCAGTGCTCAGGGTTTACTTCAAACTCTGTAGTCAGGGATCACTCCTGGCAGTGCTCAAGAAATGCTGCAAGGCCAGCACCTTAGTCCTTGTAGTATCTCTCTGGCATGAACAAATAATTTATAATTCTAATTCTTTCAATAATGAAGAATTCTTAAGTACAGTTGATGAGATAGAAATTTCTCTAGAGAAGCTCAGAATCATATGATCAGAGGGAAAAACATACAAACCTGACAGAGAAAATTTAAAGAGAACTAATACAGCTTTAAAGACCTCATTATATAAAATAACAAAGACTATAGGTCCTTAAGGACAAGGGAGAAGCATCAGAAAGAATACTTGAAGGATAAGAACTTGATGAGTAACATTCATCAATCAACTCCCAAAAGCTCCAAACTTCACTCCTAGCTTGGGCAGTTTTATTCTTTATCTCTTAGGGTTTCCACGAAAGAAGATTCTTAAATTCAGGACTCCAAGTAACAGAAGCCTTTGCAGATTAGTCAAGTAATTTAATGACCAAACATTTCTTTGAAGAGGTTACTTTTCAAATTGTCAGGTATTATGTAAAGTACTTAAATCTATGAGCATTTTTAAAATCAACCAAATCAAGCTTTCTTCAGTTCTCCTTATGGGATCTTTTCCCCATTAGAATGAAAAGTAGCACTCAGTTTTAGCACAGAAAAAAATTGTGTAAACACAAACAAGATAAATTTAATAAAAGAAAGCAACCATTACATAAATTTAACAATGCTTACCATTCTTTAAACACCATATACATTGTCAATATATACTGTGTATTTCAAATTAACTCCATTCTTCGAAACAGTTTAAGAAACACATTTCTAACAGATCTTATTAAAAAAAAAACACCACCAAGAAAGTAGACAAACTGCACAAAAACAGTACATGTATAATGTGCATAGCAAGATAGCTCGAAGCATCTATGTATGGCTTTCTTTAAAACAAAACTACTAGGGGAATGGACCCATTTGGGACCTATTGTTACAGTTGACATATGTAAACTGTTTCACATCTTTTAGGCACTTGCTAACAAATAGTGTTCAATCCCTGAAAAATGAATTAAACCCCGCCCCCTATAAGCCTACATCTGAAATAAAACCAAGAAAATACATGGGTAAAGTCTTACATGTTTCTTTTAAATAAAGCAACCAGTTTTATTAGTGCATGCAGAAAACTAAACTGAAAGAAAATAAACTTTATGTCAAACTTCCTGTGCAAAATTTACATAACTGAAAGGTACAAAAATATGTACAGGTTTAAATTGTTATGTACAGAAAAAAGCCCTGAAATTTTCAATGAAAATACCATTAACACTTGTTGTAACATAACAAAGAAATTACATATGTAATTTTGTAATACAAGAACTCCATTATCTAATGATCCAACAAAATTTGATCCAAACTTCTAAGCTGAAAAGTTTAAATCAATGTTTCTGTTGTTGTCATGAAAATACCCATATCAAAATTGTTAAACATGACCCTTAGAAATTTATCCTGAAGTTTATGCACTGCCACCGAGTTCACAATTAATGCTTCTTCATTTTCAACTGCCAACTATCAGTAAACCATCTATTATGGGTTATCAATTCTACTGAAAAGCTGCTAACAAAAACGGTTTGTCCCAAGGTAGACAGGTTGAGACATCAATCATAATTAAAAAAAATAAAGATTTGTTCTGCTAATCTTGATTCAAAATATTTTTTTGTAGAAAACCTTCAATTTTCAAGAAGTCATTCCCTTCGAAGTGCTTCTGTGTTCTTAAAAAGCATTGCAAAAAAAAAGAAAAAAGAAAAGGGCACTTGGTTTATAGGAGACAAACAACATATGCCAAATAAGAATACTGAGTAGTTCCATTCAAGGGAATTACTGGAGAATAATAAAACCAAATTCCAAAAAAAAAAAAAAGTTTTATTTTCTCATTTAACTTCAAACTAGGCAGAGATTTTTCATTCTTCTCTCAATGCTTCCCATTCCTTACAATGTTTGATACAGCTGTTTAGAAAAAAAAAATTTACTTTGGGTCTTTCAATGAGGCATAGTATACAAGGAGAAAAAAATTTGTCAAAAGTTCTTTTCAAGCATTATGTAAGGTGTAGCTATAATTGAATTAAAAGTACTTTCAAACACCTAATACCTCCTTAAAAGAATGTTTAACAGATGCTAAATAAATCCTTTACACAAGAGCTCCATACATCTTCACAAATGGTAAGAAACTTCTTCAGTCCCATGATGAATAAGCTCTCCATCTTCAGAGAAGCTAAACTTATCCATTTATAAGGCTGGTGGAAAAGAGGGAATCAGGCCATCAACCTCACCCTCTGTAAGAGTTTCTGAAGAACTAAACTGGGAAAATGTTACCAGAATTTTCTTTAGCCCTAAATTCTCAGAACAGATTAAAAAACTTAAATTACATTTGTACTGATGTTTTTTCTACAACTTAGTATGTGCAGTGTTACCATACTCAAATGCACACAAAAGAACTTTTACTCTTCAGTATAAATCTAACTTTTAAAAGTAACTTCAGGTAGAAAATGTCAGCATTAAAGTAATTCAATCCACTGTTTAACATCTCCTCAGTTAATTTTACTTTTCCTTTGTGGTTAATGTAAATTATTCTAACATATTCCAATCACGAGTAGCTTCCATTAAATGTCTCTGCCCATGACCAGCCCAAATATCCTGATTGTCAAATACTCTACCACAAAACCAACAGTTAAATTTAGCCTTCAGAACATTTTCAGAGGTAGTTTTCACAATCTGATAATTGTTTTTGCTTGTCTTTTTTAGTGTTAATTTTAGCACAAATCTTTCTTTTACAGAACTAACAGGTTTAAATGTTTTGTGCTTCCTGGAAAAATCGTAAGCTGTTTTAGAAGAGTTGTAACAAACTGGTTTCAGTAAAGCACTGATAGTTCTTTCAGATAATGAAACTTTAAGTACACGTCCATTAAACTTAGCAATAGTTTTCATTACATTCACTACTTCCGGTGCATCTGCATCAGGATGATTCAAAACTACAACTGGCTGGTTTCTTCGAGGACATTTCACAAGTTGTTTGGAACTAAAAGGGAAAAGCCGCAACGTTCTGACTGAATCTTTTGATAGTCTAGGTCTGTTAAATCCAAACGCCTCTCGGACACCTTCAGGTTTAGTCTTTTCTTTACACTTTCTATGTAATGATGTTTTTCTTGGAGATTCTTGGTAACTACCCTTACATTTTCGTTTACAGTTTCTGTTTTTAGACACAAAGACAGTTTCAGAATCTTCACCTCTTAGATGAGTCTTTACTCTTGAAAAATGTTGGCGGGAAGTCTTTTTTCTACTGAAGCTTTTTTCAGTTGTACAGTTAGTTTTGTACCTTAGCACCCTAGTCTCCGAATGGTCAGAAATACACATAGGTTGGTCAGAAGATTCTGGGCATGTTGCAGTAGAAGTTATCACAATTTCATTTGCTGGCATCATATCGTCTAATAAGGCCTCTTTAGAAGATTCTGGCTCTTTCTGCTCTCCCCCTGTAGTCTGATTAGATGGTACATTGTCTTTCTGTGATGAAGATGTAGAGTTGATTACTGACAGATTAGCAGCAGTCACATTTAAAACAGGATTAAAAATTTTCAGCAAAAACTTTTGTGGTGCTACTTCAGGTTTCTTTGGCTGTATATTTTGATAAGTACTACTTTGGACTAATTTAGGCTTAAGCAGCTCTGTCTTATTTGGCGTCATACACTTCAAAAAAACAGCTTGTTTGCTTTCAGGTAACAGAGTATAAAACGGTGGTTTGGGAAAACCCTCATTTTGCTGTTTTACTGTATCCAAAATATTCAACTTAGTGCCTTGATGCTCAGATGTCGTTTGAGACGTAGGTACAGGTTTCGCTGAAGAACTTGCTGTTGTTTTAATAATATAAGGACCTTTTAGTGGTGAAGTATTTTCTGAACTACTTTTCATGCTCAAACAACTGCCAATGCTGGAACAAAGTGCAGGTGTCAGACAACTACTGTTTGGCTCAACCTTTAAAAACGGTGTTCTACAAGGCTCCTTAGTTGCAGTTCCACAGGCTTGAGCACTCTCAGTTTTGACAGTGGAAACTCCTTCAAATTTCCCACTGTTAAACGTTAAAATCATCCCAGGTTTCTTGTTTAAAAGAAGAGAGGCCGGTACAGCTTGGGTATTAACCAACGGAAGTGATCTTCCTGAAACAACATGTAATCCTGGCTTGTTAGCAATGTGAAAAGGAACAAAAAGACCTTTTGGGGTCTGAACAAATATAGTATTTTTTGGTTCTGTATTTACAAGTGGATTCTGCATATATAAAGAACCTACGTTTTGTGTAGTGGCTCTAAGTTTGTCCTTAACAAGCTGCTGTGTTATTATTGCATCTGACTGAGTCTTAAGTAATGTCCCAATACTTGTAATTCTAGGCATCTTCTCTGAATCTCTCGTGTCTTGTGACACTGAAAGAATCTGCTTTCCTTTTTCACTACATTTTATAGTCAGATCATTTGTGGCCACATTAGCCCCTACAGCACCACATGGAATTGGGAAGCTGCCATGTAATTTAAAGTCTTTTGAAGATTCAACTGTTTTGCCTTCCCCTTCAATTTTCTGAAATGAATTGTCATAATCAAGTGGCAGACCTTTATCTGGACTTTTACTAGAGTCTTGTTTTACATCAGATTTTATTTTTAATACCTCTTGAAGTAATTGGTTTACCTCAGGTGGCAAAAATTCTGATGCCTGTTGGCTCTGGAGAGAGAAAACAGATGTGATTCTGGGCATCAAAGGTGACTCAACATTAGAAATATCACCCCATTTTGATTTTTCATTCGTGTTTTCTAAACTTTGATTTTCATTAGTGTACAGGTTCTGCCCATAAGTGTTTTGTCCTTTTTCTATAGCACACTGTTCCTCCATTTCAACCTGTGTTTTCAAAGTTCCATCTTTAGTATTTAAAAAGTTAATAGATGCTAACAGGCTATCTGGGTTTGAGCTCTCCTTCTTCACTAGTGATAAAACTGACTCACTAATTGGTTGCTGAACAACTGTCTTGCTTGATGAGGATTCTCTTTGAGGGTTTTCACACACTGAAGTTCCTGAAAGTCTACGACGTTTATTTGAATTATTTACTTTTGAGTAATTATGAAAAGGTAATGACCCTTGGTTGGAAGATTCAATGGGTAACTCAGAGTTAACATAATTAATACAATAGTTATGCATATCTCCACTGTTATATGCATTTGGTTTGACTTTATCTGGACTTTTAATGGCAGTACCTGATATTTCAGATTGACTCTCTGTGGTAGGATTTCCCCATAGGTCAGCATTATCTCTTGGTTCAACTTTTGTGGTCAAATTCACAGATGTCATAGCCAATCCTGACGTTGTTGACAAAGAAGATATATTATTTCCATCATCTGTTGTTTGAAGCATATTACTCCTCTGAGATAGCAAAGCCATTTCTTTTTCTGAAGTTATTTTCCCTGAAAGTACAGGAGAGAAACATGACAATGCAGTTGTTGCTTTCATGTAAGCTGTGTCACTTAACTCAGATGCTACTCCTGGCAAAATTCCAGTGGTGTCCAGAGTTGGGGACTGCAAATTAGTTGTATTGTCCTTTGCAGCATCTGACTGTGGGCCTAATGTATATAAATTTTGTTTGTTAGTAGGCAACAATTTTATTACAATATGCTGTTTTCCATCTACCATCTTGAAGCCCATGAACTTAGCACTGTAGTTAGCAGGAATTGTTATTCTGTTATTTTTCACTGTTAATACTGTAGGTCCTTGTACGGCAGTCTTAAAGAAACTTAGAGTAGAGTTTGATCCCTCTTCCATTCTATTACATTGCCCAGTGGACTGAAGAGTTGGCTTTTCTAGCTCGGACCCAACCGTTTTATCATTATTATCACAGTGCAGTCTTTCATTCTTTTCTTCATTTAGATGTTCTTGAACAAAAGGACTCTGATCTTCAGATTTTGCCAACAACTGAGTATCCTTCTCTACAATTCTGTCACTTCCGTTGTTAATCTTCTTACGTTTCCAAAATGTCTTTCTTGATGCACCTATTTTATATCTTTTCAGTATCAGTTTAAGTCCTGCTGAAGTTTTCGACATTTTTTTTTCGTATTTGTCCTTCTCCAGTTTTTCTTTTGCATATAAATGTTCTTTGTGCAAAGTTAGAATATGTCTTATAAGGTATTCTCGCCTGGTGGTACCATAGTTACAGTACTGACAAGTGAAGGGAAATGTACCAGAATGAATATGAAGATGCTTCTGAAGCTCTCCTTTGGTAAAACATATATAATGGCATTTACCACAGGTATAATGAATTTCATTATGTCTATGAATGTGTTGAACAAAGGTACCAACATCCTGGGTGGTAAATTTGCACTTTTCACATTGAAAATTACCATTTACACAATGAGTGGATGAAAAGTGTCTTGTCAATTCTAATAAAGTATATACATGCTCATTGTTACAAATGTCACATTTTACTAAAGTGCTTCTATGGGTTCGCCTGTGTTGTTTAAATACCTGAAAGTCATTTGCTGAAAAACTGCACATTTCACAAGGATAGGAAGGTAATTCACCATGGTGCCACATTTGAAAATGTTTCTGCAAATCATTTGGGCTATATGGAATACTATCTTGGCATTTTAAGCAGTTAAAGTTGAGTATTTTTGCAGCCATTTTTATACCTTCTTCTTCAACTTTCTCAGACTTATGAAGCAACATAAAATCCTCTACACAGCTTACAGTCTTTATCCTGATAGATTTTCTTGCCGTCTGAGATTTATACTGAAATAATCTTCTGTATTTGTCTACTTCGTGTTTCAATAAAACTTCATTTGGAATATATATCTTTGGCAAATCAATTCTTACATCTTTTAGTTTAAAATGAAAACTACTTTTTGAAATTTGGGATTTAAGTACTGGTTGGATAGTATCAACTACCTCGTTTTTCACATCATGATCTTTTTGTAAAGTTGCTTGTTTTTCACCCAAAAATAACTGTTTCAGTTCAGATGGCATGATTTGACAAAAATTTCCAAATTTCTTTTCTTCTAAAAATGCTTGAAGTTACTTGTAATTTAAGCAGGAAACAATACTGTGCCGAGACAGCTCCAAATTACAAGGTTTTTCACAAATTAACTCACCTAAAATCAAAGAAAGAATTACATTTTTCATCACAAAAATATCATTCAATTTCACATTTCTTTTTTTGTTTTGTTTGTTTTGGGGTCATACCCAGCTGTGCACAGGACTTACTCCTGGCTCTATGCTCAGGGACCACTTCTGGTGGGGCTGGTGTCAGAGTGACATGGATCAAACCCAGATCAGTTCTGTGTAAGGCAAATGCCTAACTGGGCATTTGTACCATCTCTCTCCAGCCCCCAAATTTCACATTTCAAAAAAGTTCATTTTGACACTAAGTAGAAACATTGATCGAATATATAAGTAAAAAATATAAATGATTATTTTAAGTTTTTAAAAAAATAGCTTACCAAGAAGTAAACTGGAAGAAGAAATAAACAATCTTGAAGTCAGGAAATGCAAGCTTTAGTTCCAGCTCTTCTCTGTGACACTGTGAAACTGCAACTTCTCTGTACCTCAGTTTCTTCATCTAAGGGAAAACCACAATTGGTTAAATGCCCCCTTAAATTCAAAGATGTTAAAGTTGACACAATCTTTTTATGGCAGAATTTTTTAAATCTTAATAAGTCCTTAAAGTTGAACTTTCAAATTAGTTATATTCATGTACCATTAACTTTCTCACTTTTAATATTTGCTCGTAAGAAGAAATTCTTTTAAGACTTCTCTCCAGAATTCCTACTTCCTTAGTGTTTCAAGACTAATTTGCATTTAAAATGCAAGTCTTTCAAGGTCATAAAAGAGTAGAGGGGTAGAGAGCTTGCCTAGCACAAAGTTGACCCCTGTGTGATCCTGGAGTTCAGAGCCAGGATGAAGTCCTAACTGAGCACAGCTGGATGTGGCCCTAAAGTAAGAAGGTTTTCATAAATTCTGTTATATTCTCCAAGTGAAAAGCATCATGAACACTAATGGAATTTATACTACACCAGAACCTGAGGCTGGGATTTTAAATATGTCAAACCTAAGTATGCATTTGCAAGAAAATATCAGTCATTCTGGATTATCAAAGACCAAGTTTTTTTCTACTAATAAAGAATCACAAGGATACTATAGAAATAGTATTATTACAAAAGGCTAATTATTTCTTACAGTAGTATTAGATGGCTCTGAAAATAACATGCCCCCTACCCATCTGTAGCTTACAATAAGAGGAGGAGGTACTCTGCTATTCAGAACTGATTATCCAACAAACTTCACCATTCCAGTACAAAGAATAAAATACATGAAAAAGGTTTTGTGGCAATCAAAACAGATTCCCAAAAGTTCACCTATTAAAGTGTGGTCCTGATAGGCGGTGGGAAATGTACACTGGTCAAGGGGTAGCTGTTAAAACACTGTATGAGTAAAGCCCAATCATGAAGAACTTTTAAACTAGTGTCTCACAGTGACTCAATAAAAATAAATAAAATATGGTGCTTTCAGTACAAAATAATACTGATAAAACAGACCTTATTACTACATGGAAAGTATCATGTTAAGCGAAATGACTCAGAAAGAAAAGGATAGACATAGAAAGATTGCATTCATCTGGGGAACATAAAGTAACAAAATAGAAAACTAACACCCAAGAATGGCCGAAATTAGTACCAGGAATTTTACTCCATGACTTGGAGGTCAACCACACATACTAGGGGAAAAGGGAGCTCAGAGAAAGAGGGGAACACCAAACAAAGGTGTTGGGAGGATCCTTCCAGGATGGGAGATGCATGCTGAGACTATAGACCAAACATGATTGCCACTCAATGTTTCTTTTGCAAACCACAACACCCAAAAGGAGAGAGAGAACAGAGGGGAATGCCCTGCCACAGAGACAGGGTGAGATGGGGGGGATAAGGGGTGGGAGGGATACTGGGATCCGTGGTGGTGGGAAATGGGCACTGGTGGAGGGATGGGTATTTGATCATTGTATAACTGAAACCCAAGCACAAAAATGTATAAGTCTGCAACTGTACCTCATGATGTCTCACTATTAAAAAACTTTTTAATAAATAAAAAACAGACCTTATTAAGAAAGCCACTTTTTAACGAGTTTAAAAATGATAAACTGAATGCTGAATGTCAATTTTTATAGTTCATGTATGACATACAGCAGTTATTAGTTTATATAGTAAGTAATCTATGAGTTTGTTCTTTACTATCATTTTAAGTTTAGAAATAATACAAAATCTATTTGATCTTGTATTATGTTCATCTAGCAGGAGGAAGTAATCAGACACCTGATGGCAAGTTAAAATAAAGTTGTTACCCACAGATAAAAGTACTGAAAGTTGTGAACACTTCATGAAAGACTTCTGAAATATTGTGCAATTTTTGTAATTTTAATCTAATATACTAGTAAATGTTCTATTTGCTACAGTCCAATCTCTACCTCACCAAAAATTACTGGCTTTACTTTTTTTTTCTGTTTAATTTTTATTAAAATTTTGTTCATAATACAGCTGTTTCAATCAATGTTTCAACATCAATCCCAATACCATAAGAGGTGTATGACCTTACCTCTACCAATGTTCTCAGTTTCCCTCCCACACACAACTTTCTTTTTTTACAGGAGCCGTAATTGCTGGTGCTTGACTGGGGAGCAAACAGCCACATCCCCAGTCTAAAAACTACTAATATCAAATCGCAAATTTAAGCAACTGCTGTTTATGGATGACGAGATTTGATCAGCTCAAGTACACTTTACAAAGCACATATATGGCAAGTGAGAGGACCTAGGCTCAATCCCTCACACCACATCCTCATCACTCAGTACTACTGTATAGCCACAAGTAACATTAAATTTTGACAAATAACGATTAACCTTATACCCAAAAAAATTTCTTAAAGAAAACATAATTTAGATAAAACAAATATTGAGAATATATTACATAGTACTTTTTTGAAACAAAAAAAACTCATGTTTCAGAAGATAAAATTTCATTTACACAAAAGAACTAGGTCTAGGGAGATGGCACAGAGGTTGAACATTCCCCTTGTTGGATCCTTGACACATGCCTTCCCTCCTCCCCCAATCCCCTTAGGTGCATAACTGAGTATAACCCTGGAGGCCCTCAGCACAGTAGATCTGGTCCTGGCAGCATCCTGCATGTACTATAGTACATATACAAGTACTTAGTCATTCTTGGTTTAATATCAAATGAGTGGTATCGAGACTCCCTGAGCACTGCTTAGGAAGCTACATTAAAGAAGGGGACAAAGGTGGGGCCAGAGGGTAGGGTTCTTTGCCATGCACACAACCTGACTAGGGTTCAATTCTCAGCACCACATATGGTCTCCTAAACACTAACAAGAGTGATCCATAAGCACAGAGCCAGAAGTAAGCCATGAGCTCTGCCAAATAAGCTCTGTGACCCTAAAATCTAAGTATGATATATACATACATATACATATAAGTACATATGTAAGATCAAAAAATCAGTAATAAATCTACCAAAAAGAACTCAATATTAGCATTTTATTACTAAAACTAAAAAGACAGGAAATGAACAAAAAAGAATATTTACATGTTTACTACATGTATAATATAAATACATGAACAGTGGAAAGTAGGAAAGGTGACAGAATTCCAGAAAAGGTAAAGTAGATCAATTAGTAAATAACAGTGCAGGATCAAGAAAATTTAATGCCAAGCAGAGTGATGACAGCAAAGAACCCATTATACAATCTAGGTCTTCTGAAAACAGTACCAAGTAACCATGAAATGGGAAAGCGGAAGGAAGCTGAATTTAGAGAAAATTAGAAAAAGCTTGAGTTTTAGTTTAATGCTAAGATTTCCTTCCCCATGTACAATGCTAGGCAACTACTGTTACTCAATCACCAACTAAATATGGCAGTTTATTCTCTGCAAAAAGTAAAACTGAGTTTCTAAAATTAAGAACACCAAAGTTGCGAGTGGGTACCAAACAAAAACAAGAGGATTACATGGCCATATATACACGACACAGATCCCATTCCTTGCCCCCTCTCTCTCTCCTAGACTATATCAATGCTATCAATCTGCTGATGTTTTATGACTATTTTAGTTCTGATTAGGCGTGGGGGCCACACTCAACAGTGCTCAGGCGCTACTCTCAGCTCAGGGATCAGGATAGCTTGAAGGACCAAATAATGGATTTTAAATGTTCCAGCTTATGAGCCATTTTTTTTACCAGTCCCTGAACTGGTGTAAGACTACTACAGCAGTTTAACAGTTAAAAACGTATGTTCAATCTAACAAAAACTTGGGCTCGTGGGAAAGGATTTTTTTCGATGGTACCTACATATGAGTGGGTTTCACTCTAGAACCTCAAAATAAAAGTTAATCACATTGAATGTGTTTTATCTGCTTTTTCCCTTTTTTTTTTTTAAACATGCCAGGGATCAACTCAGGGATCCATAAATGTGTACTACGGACTCTAGACTCCTTATTTCTGAACTTATGTCTTCATTTCTTTTATTTTCTAATAATAGATGCACTGTGCTAAACTAATGATTGACTATAAGCTGGTATAGCTTTAGAAGATAGTTCAAGAATACATACAATGCAATAAACAATTTTACAATTAAGTGGACATATGGTGAATTCATTTATGTAAGGATATACAGGCCTGGCAAAAACATACGTAACTTTTTTTTAACCTATAGGAATGTATATTATTGCTCTTATAATGGCAGTTAGAAGACTTCTGCGGGGAACTACCTCTGGTGCTACCATGAAAGCTCATACCAGCTGTGTTCAAGAGACTCATAAATATATACTGAAAGAGATCAACAAAGCCTCAAATTCCTCCAGACACCCAACATGGCTAAGACATCTGGAGCACCTCTGGGGGTGGGGCGAGTCAGTCACTGCCCACCCACAGCCTGGCTGCAGGTTGCTTCCACACTCCAACATCACCATGCCCACAGCCAAACTTCACCATCTCTCGAACAAGTTTCACCCAGAAATTAAATCTGATATGCAGAAAAATCAGATATGATATGCAGAAAAAAATCAGGTATGCAGGTTTTGTGACTTAAATCTTCAGGCTTTGTTGGAGTCAGGATGGGCCACCTACCTCCACCTTCCCTGTACCCCCACCCTCCAGAAGCCCCAGCAGTCAAGTCCATACCCCAAAAGCACCACCAAGTCAAATATTTAACTCCAGCTGTACCACCCCCTTTACAACACTGCTAAACCAGTAGTAGCACACCAGACTGGATAGGATGCTAACATAGAAGGTAACACCAATCTTTATTAATAAAACAAACACAGAAGTCTTAACCTGTAACCACTTCTTAGTAATGTCTCATGCAAGGATTTAATCTTTTCATGGAGAAATACAATTTACACCAATCTTCTTCTAGTGTAACATTTTTTGATTATTCTGTTAGCATGCTATTGATAGGTAAAGGTAAAGGTTAAAGGCCCTTCCGTTGTTCGTCGATTTGCTCAAGCAGGCCCAGTAACGTCTCCATTGGAGACTTTGTTGTTACTGTGTTTGGCATATCGAA